GGAACACTCTGTAAACATCTATTAAGTTCATTTGTTCAATAGCTTGGTTCAGTTCTAGAATTTCGTTGTTAATTTTTTGTCTAGATGATGTATTTGTGATAGTAGGGTATTGAGGTCCCCACTACAGTTGTGTTAGTGCTTATTTGGTTTTTCATGTCCATTAATATTTGTTTTGTATAGTTGGGGGCATTCGCATTTGTGTGAATTGTTTTGCCTAGGTTATTATCAAAATTAATTTGGACTTTTTTACTTTTTCTGTTGAGCAGCAAGGAAAGGTGTTCTAAGAATATGCATGCTGGGTGTGGTGGCACACACCTGTAAGTAAGCCCAACACTCAGAAGGCTGAGGCAGGAGGATTGCCATAAGTTCGAGGCCAGCCTGGGCTAAAAAAAAAAGTGATAGTATTAAAAAAAAATAGTGATAGTATTCAAAATAGAACTGAAAATATCATATAATTAAATGAAAGACTGTATCTCCTTGTCTAAAAAAAAAGGTTTCAAATTCAGCATTATCTAGAATTTCAGTGTGTACAATTTGAATTCTTTCTTGCAAAATGAACAACAGTACTTTTTGAACAGCAAAAGCACTCTTATCAAGTTATCACTCTTATCAAGTTATCAAGATGTGGAAGGGTCAGAAGTGTGCTGGGGATGTTTTCATAAAGCTACCTGACAAGGTACTTTGTTTGGCACGGTGATTGGTGATGCATGGGTTTCATTTGGCAATGTTCACCAGGGTCTTTATGGGCTCGTAGAATGTCTAACAGAGCATATTTTTGCCTTCTAATTCATGTGCCCTCGGTAGGGATCTTGTCCCCCAGTCCCCCCTTCCAGAGCCTTCCTGGAAGCCTGTGTTTACCTAACAGGATAAGTGTTTAGAGACCACTTCCATGTGGTTAAAGGATGTGTCCCCGATACCATCTGCAGGTCCCGGAGCCTGCTGTGCACGTCCCTGGCCAAGAGCCCCTGACTGCGTCTATGCTGGCTGCAGCGCCGCTCCATGAGCAAAAGCAGATGATTGGTAAGTGATCCCTCTGCTGGCCAGGGAAAGCAGGGCTGGGAGCTGGCGAGCCTGTCAGGAACACCCGAAGGAAGGTCAGATGTGAAGATGAGGCCTGTTTTTTGTTACTGAGGAAGCTACTGGGTGACCTTACCCAAGCCACCTTGACTCTCTAGGGTCCTGTTCTCTTGTCTTAAAACACTGGTGAGACTAATTATCCTAAGGCTCTTTCCAGCTCTGCCATTTTGTGATTCCAACATAGGTGAGAGACACCTGGATGTGAGGCTGTCAGGGTCAGGCGGCAGAGTGAGGGTATGACTAGAGCTGGGGGTTACAGATCTTCACACCTCTTCTAACTGGAGGAAGCTTTCCCAAGTTTCTTATGTCTTCTGGTGTCCACTTCAGGGTCATGTGAAACATCTGTGTGTTATGTATAGGAGGTTCCCACTAGACGAATTCCTTCTGCAGTTCATCTCCATCCCAAGTCCAAGACAGGTCTTGCTAAAAGGTGCTGCTAACCGTGAATGAATGAGCAGGCTTGTTCCTCTTTATAGGGTTCTTAATTGCCTGGCCAAGATCTCCAGACCCTTCAGTGAAGGCCCTTAATGCCACCGCACCATCATTTCCTCAGCTTGCTTATTAGGGTTTTGCCATGTCACATCCCACCCCACCACCAAAGAAAACTTTAAAGGATGTAGAAAGCTTTGTTAGCAGTCCTCTGTAAACACTGTCACTCTGCTCATGAGAAGACCCCTATACTCTGGATTTAAGGACTCGATCCTGGCTGAACCCTCCATACATTGCCAAGGTAGGTTGGCACCAATAAGAGGCCTTGTAGCTAGAAATACTTCATGGTGGAATGTGAGTTTATTCTATATATTTCTCATTACCCCCTCCCTAAAAAGTTTCAAGTTCAGTATTACCATATCTTGTTCAGAATTTAATGGTGAAAAATGAACATGAATAGTCTTTTTTTTAAAAAAAAAATACTGTGCTCAGTCTACTTGTATTTTTGTTTGAGATGAGATCTCATATTGCCCAGGGTGGCCTCAAACTTACAATCCTCCTGTCTCAGCTCCCAAGTACCTGGGATTACAGGCATACACCATTGTGCTTGTAGACAAGCATAGTCTTTAAATGACAATCTACTTTGTGTCAGACCCTGTGCTATAATTACCTCACATGTATTATCAGATTCCTTCAAAGTATCCTCAAAGGTGGGGTTTGCTCTGCCCATTTTATAATTAGGAAAAAGAAGTCCCAGTAAGGTTTAGTGACATGGCCTGGAAGGAACAGTTCTGGGACAAGAACCCAGATGTCCTCACTGCTCTCCATGGTACCACTCCTGGGTTGCTGTTGTGTGAGCCAGGTGTGTGCATAGCAATCAGGGGTTGTTCCACACAGGGGAGCGTCTCTATCGTCTTATCCCTGAGGTTTATGCTGCGCTGGCTGGCAAGATCACAGGCATGCTGCTGGAGATCGACAATTCAGAGCTGCTGCTCATGCTAGAGTCTCCAGAGTCCCTCCAAGCTAAGGTAGGTGGGGCCTGGGCAGCAAGAGACCTACGGACAAGGGCCATCCTAGACGAGAGAGGACAGATGAAGTTGATCTTGCTCATAGTTATACCTGAAGGCCTGTTCAGTCTTGGAGTGGGAGAGGCCTTGATACTTCAGACCCTCCATAGACTAATTCTGGGTCACTGCATAGACAAGGTGTTGGTAAAAGGGGCTGTGTTCTGACTTGATATAAAGTTGAGATTCTTCTGGCGTCCAGCAGTATACCTCTAACGTGAAGTGACAGTGGGGCATGGGATCGTTTAAGCAGCAGTGGATGAGGGCACCACACAAATGCTGCGGGAATTTCTGCAAAGGGCGGAGAATCTTCCTATCTAGCATGCTGAGTCAGTGGGAGGTCATGGTGGTTCTGGGAGCCTGCTGGGGCAGCTGTACTGAACCCCTCCGACTTACGTCCCACAGGTAGAAGAGGCGGTGGCGGTACTACAGGCACACCAAGCCATGGAGCAGCCGAAGGAGTACATGCATTGAAAATGGCTGGGTGAGGGTGGGAGGAGCAGTGACAGAGCAGCTGAGCCTGGAAGTTGGAGAAAAATGGGTACAGGCTGACTTTCAGAAACTCAGTGAGAACTGTCTTGTATTGCTGGGTGGCTTTATTTGAAGTGCCAAGGAGTCTGAGGAAACTGAGAGGATCACAGAGAAGATGCACTGTGTGATAGAAATGGTGCAGAATGAAGGAGGTACTTGTGTCAGCCACCCTTTCTGGCTGCACACAAAATAGGCTGGGCTTTTCCTGAGCATTGCCTGGCTCCATGCTACTTATCTGAAGGCCGGGCCTGCCATCAGCCACTTCACCTCTTTCTTAAAGACTTGGGTTCCTGCTGATCTTTAGAAGCATTTTTCACCCTTTCCTCACCAGAAAATGGAATCCTCACTCCCATGGCTGCCAATAGAACAGCATTTCCTGCTCTCAGCTCTAAGGCCCTGTGAACTGTAACTTATTTCCCAATTGATCTGCATCTGTACTTGAGCTCTGGATGTGGAATGAAAACTGGTCACCTGGCTGGCCTCTTTTGTTCTGTGCATTAAAAGTATTGCAAAATCTATCTTGCCTCCAGGAGGCGGTCTTCTGTTTGAGGGATATGGGGGCAGAGGGATATGGGGAGTAGACCTGACAAGTCTGGGGCTTTGGCTGTAAGGAACAGAACCCACACAAGTGCTTTTAGTACACAGAAGTTGTGTGCACTAAAACAGAAAGAGTCAGGAACTGAGCTGGACTGTAGTGGTCCTGAACTAGAAACAACTGGCCCATCAACCGTGTGGTGGGATGGTCAATTGGGTATCATTGTGGAATGGACTAAGAAAATGGACTAAAAGCTACAGCCCACATTTACGTGCCTGACAACTGCCTTGAGTACCATGCAGGGCAGGCAAACGCCCTAGAGGTAGGGTGACTGGCCCTGGGTTGACTTGACATTTATCTAGCATGGTTAAGAAAGATCCCTCCTAGAAATGTGTTAGGGTGCTTCTCAGAGTCAGGTTTCCTTCCCAGGGGAGTTTCTCACAAAGGATCTTTAGGACATTTAAGCTCACCTCCCCTTGCGGGTGTAGACCTCAGGCTCTCTGCCCTCCCCTATACCTGAGCTGCCAAAGGACAGTGGCAAAAATCACAACCCAGCTCAATGGTACTGCTGTATGTTCTCCAGCAACAAACTGGACTGAGGCCTTAAGGTTGTGCTGCTATTCTGCTTCCACCCTTTCACAAATCTTACTTCAAACTTTCTTCACTCCTCAAACCTCCAATCCGCCGTTCCTTGTATTCATCCTCTTCCTCCTAAAGTTTTGGACAGCATTTCTTGAGGCCTGATCTTGCGTGGTCCCCTCCTTTTCTCTCGTCTCCTCCATGGTAGCTAACTTAGAACCACATCAGTTTGTATAATGACTCCATTTCTTCCAGAGCCAGTCCACTCTTAAAGACTCCTGAACCATGGATGTCAGAGCCTACTTGCTTTTAGCTCTGGTTGACACTTTCAACTCTTGTCTGAAATCAAGCTCATGACTTAGTATGCCCCCTCCGATTCTCTGGTTCTCTACCAGTGTTCATTCTTAGTAAAATGGCTCCATTCTGTTGCAAAAGCTAAAATCTGGTTTTCCCACCCCCTCTGCCAGTTTCACTTTCCCTCTTGTCTTCCACATGCAATCTATCAATAGTACCTCCTACTCTCAAACCTTTCTACTTCTCTCCAAAGCCACTACCATCACTTTAATCCAAGCTCAGCTGAACTTTGGCAACAGCCTTTCACTGGCTTCACTGCATCTGTCTGTGCAGGCCCTCTTCCGATCTGTCCTGTCATGCAGAGATGGCTTTCCTCAGAATGCAAACCTGATGTCTCATCCTGAGCAAGTCCTTCAGTAGCTTCCCATTATTGTTACAGTAAGGATGAAATTTACATGTCTGCGATCCTACATGATATGGCTTCACAGTCTGCAGGAGACCCCACCATTCCCATTCTGAAGGAGTGACTTCTTGGGGACAGTGATAGAATTCAATCATAGCCATTAAAACAATCACATCGATAGTTACCTGTTCCTTTCCTAGAAATGTTAACCTATGACAGACTTTTTTTTTCTCCAGCACTGAGGACTGAAACCAGGGCTTTCATGCTATAGTACAATGGTGGTGAATCTAATAGCACATGTGTTTGTTTTTAAGACAAATGATGTTAATGTATTGTCGGGAGCAATTCTACATGATTTTGGGGGAAAATCATTTCATAATTAAATCATGATTAGGGCCGTTTCCCTGTCTACAAGCCAGCCAAGACATATCAGGACATAACTGTTTTTATGTCTTCAGTCACAGCTAAGACCTCAATGGTCCAGAGATGCTGTGATGCTCCAAGGCAGGACTACACCAGCTGGAGACATCCTGGGAGGAACCAAATCTTCATCCACATAGTTTCTCATTGTTCTAGGATCATCCACTGCACCCTCTGAGTCAATTGCTACTTTCGTTTCTGCTGATGTTCTGAATAAAGGGGTGGCAAGCTCGGGGTCTGGGGTCTCTGGCGCCCAGAGCAGCATGGATCAGGCCAAAGCTCAGCTTCTTCTCCAAGTCTCATTTTCTGTCTATGTACTAATGAATTCCCCTTGTGCTGTCTCGGGCCACAGGAGACTAGGACCTGATGAAGAGGTTCTGTTCCCTACGATGTTTCAGTTGCTTTTTCTAAACTAAAACCTCAGTATTCAGGTTTAATTGCAGTGTTGGCTCTTTGTGATAAGTAAGTAGGTCTTGGGTTGCAGTTTAGCTACTCATCTCTTGCCATCACTGCTATTGTATATTCCCATTTCCCTCATCTTCTTTTCCCTTTGTGAGACAGGGTCTCACTGAGTTGTCCACTTTGAGATCACACTTGTTATCCTCTACTTCATTAAGGTGAACACAATTCAGTACCTAGTTCAAGAAGGTAGAGCACCTTCTGGCTAGATCCTAAAGTACTCAGCCTCATGCCAAGTTTTGTGAACTTGAATGGTAGTTTTTGGCCTCTCTTCCCTCACCATGTCTTTCCTAATAGGGTCATTACATATGCTCTCCCCTCTCAGCCAGTTAACTCACTTTACTTTTGCATTGAGGATTGCACCCAGGGCACTGGTCTTTCCTAATAGGGTCATTACATATGCTCTCCCCTCTTGACCAGTTAACTCACTTTACTTTTGCATTGAGGACTGCACCCAGGGCACTGTGCATTCTCGGTAAGTCACTGAACTACACTCCCAGCCCTGTTTTTATTTTTAAATTTTGAAACGGGGTCTAAGTTGCCCAAATTGGCCTCGAGCTCACTATCCTCTTGCTTCAGCCTCCTTAGTAGCTAGGATCACAGGCGTGCACCACCATACCTGGCTCTAACTTCTCACTTTAGGATTCAGTATGAGCCAGGCATAGTGGTGCACATCTGTAATTCTAGCACTTGGGGGGCTGAGGCAGGAGGTTTGCCATGAGTTTGAGGTCAGCCTGGGTTACATAATGAGTTCAAGGACAGCCTGTACTACACAGTGAGACCCTGTCTCAAAACAACAAATCAAAACCAAAAAAACCTCAGTATGAGCTCTACCTCAGGAACCTTTACCCTCCATTAGGCAGGTTAAGATACTGTTGGATGTCTGTTTCACTGTTCTTCAGCCAGCTGTAGCTTTACACTTGGGTGATTATCTGATTAACTTCTTGCCATTCCACCATCAGCCCTGAGATCAGGTACAGTACCTATTTATTCACTGTTGTTTACATAGTACCTACACAATGCTTGGCCTATACATGCATTTCAGTAAATTTGCTCATGGAATAGATGAAAGCCCAAGAAGCAGTACCTTTTATTACTGTTACCATGTTCCAGGCACAAAGTTGAAAAGGTATATTTATAAGTACAAGAGATGTGGGTACAAGAAACTTTAATGCAATAGTTTAAATACATAGTTCAACAAAATCAGTCACTTCAAATGAACATATTACAAAGAACTAAGAAGCTTGGAGGGGTCACTGCTGGGAGAAAAAGGCAGATTCTGCCCAGAGTGGAAGGACACTGACCTCAAGGACTCACCCCATCCCTCAAGGAGCAGCCATAACCACTGGGCTCTTGAAATACTTTGGGTATCTTGACAGGACAGCAGCAGAGTCAAGGACAGAGCCTCCAAGGGCAGGGCTCTGTCTTCCCACCAAAGGAGGGCCAAGACTAAAGGCACTGGGGCTCAGACACAGCAGACTGTGCCAAGGACAGGATAGGGACAGCAGCTGCACTCATGGGGAGATGGCAGCCCTGGAGATCCAGCTCAACAGGCTGCTGTGTCGGTGGGCAGGACTTTTAGTATATCATCCACTTCTGCCCAGGGGTTTAGTCTGTTGAGATTCATTGCAAAGAAGGGGGGTCTGCTAAAGCTACAGGGCAGCACTCAGTCTGTACACACTTGGAGGAGGAATAAAGCCAAGTGCTTTGTTAATGAGGATCTATGTGTGATCCTCTCTAGCTGTCTGGAGTAGGAATGGGGACAGTGCTCCAGCCTCACACTTTAGCTGGAATGGGGAGCTTTGTGGCAAAACAATGTCTGTGCTTGACTACAATGGACTCAATTTGAAGAAAAACCCCACAAGGGGTGAAGGGCTGCTGCCTCTTAGGGGCTGGGGTGGGGGTGCTTCAGCGCTCCCCCTGGGGCATGCTGGGTTTCAGGGGTGGATGCAGAGGGGAGGCCTTGGCTTCTTTGCAAAGGTCAGGTAGAAAAAGCTCCTGCTGCTTTTCTGGATTTTCATTTCAGGTTCTGGTTAACTTCCTGCTGCAATTTATGTGCAGGGCCATTCCTGGGCTCTATCTGTAGGAGGCTGCTGATGTCTGCAAGGCTAGATTTGTAGTCCTAATGGGAGAGAGGAAGAGTGTGAGGAAGGAGTTTGGATGAAGGGAGATCCAGCTGGGGTGGGGACAGCTGTTGAGGCAGCAGAGTGATTTCAAGCCCACTGCCCTGAGCTGCTCTGGGGCCCGGGAAGAGAAGACCCTCAGTAGGTACTGCCTCACCCCATGACTAGAATCCAAAGGCTAGCACTGGCATAAACCTTTTACCTTGAGTGCCTTATAGGCTTGAGCACGTCTGTAAAATGCTTTCACATTTTTTTCATCCAGCTTGAGGGCTGCTGTACAGTCCTTCACTGCCTCCTTGTACTGCTTCAGGACCAGATGGCAGAGAGCTCTGATGGGAAAGACCATTGTAGAAGTTCAGTCACTTCTATGGGCCCCACAAGCTGGAAGGTAGCTGTGGACCAATCTGATTTGCCAAACTCCTTCTCTGTGCTCTTACTTTCTATCTTCTTTGATACAACAATCCTACCCCTTCTTACAGATGAAAAAAACTATAAAAAATGTTCAGCTGGTTTGGAGGGATGAAAGGTGTCACAACTACTACCAGGTCTCTGAGGTGCAAACTAGGTGGGTTTGCTTGACTCCTGACCCTGCCGGATTTAGTTCTGTCATATTGTCTACTTCACTTTCATCAGACACTTCTAAGCAAAGAAAAAGCCACCCGAGACCCACCCCCTTGATGGAGTAGAAAAGTATCTACTGTTAGA